CAAAAAATGAAAGTCTAGTTTAGCCTGTTTAAAAAAATAAGACAACAAAAATTTATTCAAACATAATATACAATCAAAAACACTAGTAATTCTATAAATATTCATAAATTCAATGTATATCTAAACAGCATAATATATAACAAAATCATTCAAAAAGTCTGTTTAACCAATAAAATAGGGTGAAATAGATTGAGAAGAAAAAGATGGCTATTACAAGTAGTATAAAAAATATAAAAATAATAATAATAATATACTAGGCCAGCCTAAAGGCTTTAAGGGCGAACTTTTGAATCGGAGCCTGAGGCCTTTTTATTAAATGAGCTTTTATACAAGTTCAAGCCTAGTGCCAACAACCAATTTTAGACATGTAAGCTCAGGCCTTCACGAGCCGAGTCAAAGGCCATTGGTTCGTTTAACACCTCTACGCATAAGATAACTCTTCTTATGCTTCACACACAAGGTAACTCCTCTTGTGTGGCACACAAACATACATACATATACATGCACCATATAACAATTCATATCCACATACCATATGAAAGAACCACCCTCCCTTGGAGTTTGGTGAAACAAATAGGGGATTACCCCAAGGACCGAAAGCTTACCTGGAATAGCTCTCAAACCCAGCCTCTTCCAAGCCAAGTAAGGTCCACGAGCCAATAAAATGCTCTATCAATAATCACAACACCTATTTCAAGGCGAAGATTATCACAATTAATCGCATATTCATTATGTAAGTCTCATGTCAAACCATTGTAAAGCTTTGGTCAATGTCCATAGCTTGATCTAATCCATGCTCTTGCTCCACTAGTCCACTTGGTTTCATACTATAACCAATGAACACATATCTATAAATATTCACATTTATAAACTCAACGTGAATCCTACACAAAACCAAGGTTTTTACACTTTAATATCACTTGATTTTGAGTCCAATTTATCAAAGTGTTCTAAATGACGATTTCATAATTTTTTCTTTTACGGGAATCAATCTCAAGCATGGTTAAGAAAGAGACTCACATACAAATTACCCTCCAACTACTCATACTATTAAATTTTTTAAATTGACATATAGCCAAAAACTATGATTTTCTATAGTGAGCTACATGATGATTTTTTTTTTTTTGTCTTTCATCAAGAAGAAATCCTAAGCATATTTAACAAAAAAAAGTTATATCCAAATTACTCTCTAACTATCCATACCATTAAATCCCAATTATACGACCCTAAATTCATGCATTTTGTCCAAAATCACAAGAGGGGGGGTTTGGGCATTTACCTTAAGAGCCTCAATCCACCAAATAGGAGGCAAACCAAGCTTCCAAGCCAAGAAATACTCCTCCTCAAGCCCCAAGTCCGAAAATGGTAGCTATGGGGGTCATTTTTTCTCTCTCTAAAAACCCACTCACAAAAGGAGAGGCTAAGTAAAAAAGGAGAGGCTAAGGAAAAGAGGTGAGGATAGAGATTTAAGGGGGTTCTCTGTTGATTTTAGAGGATTTTGATGATCCACAATGAGATGGAAGGAGAAGAGCACTTCTTCGATTGAGAGGAAGTCAGTCGCGGGAGAAGTTGAGAGGAATTGCAATGTTTTTGGATACTTTAAGTGAGCTCACTAACCAAGTGGGTATAAACTTCTCTATCCCGCTCACTTAGCTTTCTTTCTAAATTGACACCTTGATTTATAATATTTTTATGGTAATATTTACCATTTTACTTTCAACTTTCGGATAATTTTGCCTACCCTCATTTTTATCTCAATACTATCATTTTTACTCTTTTTCACCAAAGGTGACTTTAATTCATTTTAATTAGACTTTCCATCTAATTACTCTTCATTATTTATCATAAATTCCTTAATCCATAATTAAATCCACAATTACATATTTGGGTCATTATAGCTTGAGTAGTTGAGGGTGATTTGTATATGAGTCCCTTTGTTAAACATGCTTTGGATTGGTTCCTGTAAAAGGAAAAATTATGAAATCGCCATTTAGAACACTTTGATAAATTAGACTCAAAATCAAGTGATATTAAAGTGTAAAAATCTTGGTTTTGTGTAGGATTCACGTTGAGTTTATAAATGTGAATATTTATGGATATGTGTTCATTGGTTATAGTGTGAAACCAAGTGGACTAGTGGAGCAAGAGCATGGATTAGATCAAGCTATGGACATTGACCAAAGCTCTTGATTATTTTGGATTAAGGTGAGTATCAACAATGGTTTGACATGAGACTTACATAAAGAATATGTGATTAAATGTGATAATCTTCACCTTGAAATATGTGTTGTGATTATTGGTAGAGTATTTTGTTGGCTCGTGGACCTTACTTGGCTTGGAAAAGGCTAGGTTTGAGAGCAATTCCAGGTAAGCTTTCGGTCCTTGGGGTTAATCCACCGTTTGTTCCACCAAACTCCAAGAGAGGGTGGTTCTTTCATATAGTATGTGGATATGAACTATTATATGGTGCATGTGTATGTATGTTTGTGTGCCACACAAGAGGAGTTAGCTTATGCGTAGTACATGATGAGTTACCTTGTACGAGTATGTTGCAAGACGAGTTACCTTGCGGAATGAATACATGTTTTATTCTCTGGTCAGTAGGATTTATTATTTGCACACTACATTGTCATACATATTCTGATGCATTACATGAATATTTTATAAACTATGATTATACCGGAAGTGAGTTCAGGGGTGGAGGAACCCTCCAAGATTCCCTAGCTTACTGAGGTAATTATATTATCTTACCCTGTGTTATGAGATTACCATTTCAGGTACAGGAGTGCTGAAGCATTGCATGACAAGATGCCCGAGGAGAAATATTACCTGACCTGATAGTCAGGATTAGTTTGATATTTTGACATGTATATGAAATGTTATTATTTTGAGTTGTATATGCCATGTCTTTCTTTTTGGAGAGCATAGAGGATGTCTATGCCATATTGGTAGTTTGTATATGTCATCAGTGATGCACACCCAGGTCTATGTTACTTATTTAATTGCATCTCTTTTGTTTATTTGATGTAATTATATAAGTAACACTGTGGACATTATTTTATTTTGAGACCCGATGGTTATGAGATAGCCTAGGAAAATGATGGCTGGGCGATATGTTTCCTCTATGTTATTATATGATTGAGATATGATCAGGTGAAAATTCTCACGGTGAACAATGTCCACAGTGATCCAAAATATAGAGAAATGTCGTCTGTTTTTTTTTTTTTGCTATAAAAGTGATAAAGTTTGCAATACATAAGGAAAAAGTTAACCAGTTAGCTTCCGCAGTTAAATAAGAAAAGTATGTTGCACTTATTATCATATAAATGTTAATTAACCAGCTATAAACAACGTATTACAAATGTCATTAATAAAGGTAGCATTCAGAAAAATAATATGTTCATTAGGTGATATTACTCTTCCGAAAGTTGATAACAAGCTAATTCAAAATTTTAAACATGTATTAGATATTTGACAATTAAATTAAAAACTTGTTATAATAGATATGAAAAATTTAAATGAAAAATAGCTCAATTATCTTGAAATAATTGATAATTTAGCTGGAGTTATAAATTTTTTAAAAGCAAAAATATTTCAAATGCTGAACAGTCTGTATAATACATGGATAAAATAACTGGTAATAAGTTATAATTGTTGACTTAATTAATTATTAATTATTCAGAACTATTGATAAAGTCCAAAAAATGAAGGGAAAGAAAAAAACTATAGACGGCAATAAAATGCCAGGTGATGGCTTGATTATTGAAAAACAATAAAAATGAGCTTGCATGCAAGTAGTATTGTGTTTCTTCTTATCTTTTCTAGTTCATTATCGGCATCATCTTATTGCATGTTTCCTTTCATTTTTATTCCATAGCAGATGAATTTAATTAGACTTCTTCGACATTCATTCTTTTTGTTATGAATATGTTTGCAGACTTTGGTTGTTAGTATTTTATCTGATTTGTAAAGTCAAGAACCACAAGACATCTCTTGTGATAGCATTTTGATGAATTCTAGGATAATACCCCGTTACTACAAAGTTATAATCATCTTTATGTTTGGTATGACTGAAAATAGACAAAATGTTTGTCTGAAAACATTATCAATTTTTTTCTTCAGATTATTTTTATTATTTTTTTAACTTTTACTTACCACCTTAAAAGGGCCAAAATTTTAATTTTACTCGTGTACCGTGGCAACAAAAGGTCAAAATTAATCAAATTCAAAACAAAATTTCTTGCTATAAAGCCTTGTGGATCAACCTGGTAACACCTATATTCTCTTTGGTTTGAAGGAAAAGAAATTCCAGCTATGAATATAGGATCTTGTGCCGAATACAGTAGTGTAAAGACTCCATAAACTTTGGCTATAAAAGAAGGGAATTATTATTCTTATGCTATAGGAGATAGAGTGTCTTATGTGATAGACTCAACATGTGTGGGCTCCATTGATTTTTAAAAAGAAAAAAGAAAAGAAAAAAAGCAAACATGGATATCGAAGGGTCAGTAGGAAAATTTTTTTATCTTATGTTACATAAGATTAACTTAACCCATAAAAGAATATGCTATATGTATACGGGTCCTACTTTTTCAATTTTTTAAGTTGTTCATAAAATTGGTAAGTCCGTTGAGCGTTACACATACATTTAGGAAACATACAAATCCAAAAAAGTATAGTTCCTAGCCAGGCTTTCATTACTGAATTATTTATATCACGTATGCATGCTTAATGTCCGAATGAATTTAATAAAACAATACTGATGAAGAAAACAAGAAGCCATTTTCATCTTTTCGATGGAAACGACCTCAAATCGATTCTTCAATGAATACAACAATGTGATAGCTTTGGAAGAACCTCCTCAAAGATCCCAACAGGCTGCACAAGTTCCTTATCGTACATTCTTCCTTTTAATGCTGCCTCATTCTGCCATCCCCTCAGTTTTGGAGCCCTTCCGAACTTCTCTATCAGAAGTTAGTGACACACCTTAACCCTCAAACATGACTCAAGCCAATGGCTATCGTCATGAAACAGTGATTGACATAAAGAAACCCGTGAGTTTCACTGGGGGGCTTCAGTTTGAAAGCCTCACATACACTGTGACAAAGCAGAAGAAGGTTGATGGGAATTGGTCCAAGGAAGAGGTGGACTTGCTGCATGATATCACTGGTTATGCACCCAAAGGTTGCATCACTGCAGTGATGGGTCCTAGTGGTGCAGGAAAGTCCACTTTTTTGGATGGTCTTGCTGGGAGAATTGTTAGTGGGAGCCTTAAAGGGAAGGTCTCCTTGGATGGGAGAACTGTTAGTCCAAGCTTGATCAAAAGAACTTCTGCATATATTATGCAGGATGATAGACTTTTTCCAATGCTTACTGTCTATGAGACTTTGATGTTTGCTGCTGATTTTCGCTTGGGGCCACTTTCACTTGCTGACAAGCAGCAGAGGGTAGAGAAGCTGATTGAGCAGCTTGGCTTATCTGTAAGTTTTTTATTTTCAACCTTTGAAATAATCCTCCATGTATTCAAATCTGCCACTAACCATTTCTTTAAACATGAATAACTAATAGAGTAATTTAATTAATTATTCTTAACTCAGGAAATATGATTAACCATCATTACTTTCTTCTAATTTTTCCATCTTTAAGTATTTGGATATACCAGTTGATTTTCAGATTTGGGGTTGCTGAACCCATTTTGTGAGCCAAGACTTGACCAATCTTAATTTGATTAATCCATTAATACTCAAGTTGAGCCCCACACTTGTTTTATGTGTAGAAGTTAAGTAATTAAGTCTCGTATTAGTTAGTATCACGTGGGTTAAGGGAGTCCATAGAGAATTCCTTAACACTTGAATATCTCGTTAATCTCTCTGGATACCATTGTCAAGTGGATCAAGGAGAACCCCTGGCGAGAAATCATTAATGACTTAAGTTAGACCAATCACATCAGGTGAGTTCGATATTATGTCTCAATCTAAAATCTTAAGACATTAGGTTCATAAATCCTCCTACTTTTATAGTCTTTACTTAGTCTATTACCGACTAATATTAGACTCCATTATATTTGAATATATCCCAACAATTAAGAATGTACTAGGTAAAGAACATATAAATAAAAAAATCCATAAGTTCAATGTTTAAGATTTTGGATTAAGACGCGGTTGTCTAAACTTTAACATATGTCTTTTGAGCTTTCTTCCTAATTGTATGTTTTTGTTTATTTGGGTGGTGAAGTCAGCAAGGAACACCTATATAGGAGATGAAGGGACAAGAGGAGTGTCAGGTGGAGAGCGTCGCAGGGTGTCAATTGGGGTGGACATCATTCATGGACCATCACTTTTGTTTCTGGATGAGCCAACTTCAGGTCTAGACTCCACCAGTGCTCACAGCGTGATTGAAAAGGTGAATGACATTGCACGCAATGGAAGCACCGTGATTCTCACAATCCACCAGCCTTCATCAAGAATCCAGTTGCTCCTTGATCATCTCATCATCCTCGCTAGAGGCCAGCTCATGTTTCAAGGCTCACCTAAAGATGTAGCTCTTCATTTGGGTCGCATGGGACGCAAAGTCCCCAAAGGAGAGAACCCAATTGAGTATCTCATGGACGTGATTCAAGAGTATAATCAATCTGAACTTGGAGTTGAGGCACTAGCTGAGTTTTCACGCACAGGGATGAAACCCCCTCCTTTGTCTCACCAGGAAGAACTGTCACGGTCACTGTCTTCTGTTGCACCCTCACCATTCCCATCTTCATTCCAAGGAGCTAGATATGATGACAAATCTCAAGACCTCTCTATCTCATCACAAGTAAGTAGGCGTATCATAAATGATTTTGATCACAGTGTTAGAAGCCCACAAAACACATCAAAGTCATGGAGTGCCACTAATAGTGCGGCCTTTTTAAAATTCACACCTTCACGGCTTAAGAATGATCAGAAGGTGCAGAATCCCGTAAGGTAAAGCATTTATTCACTAGTACTAGTATCAAAAACTTTATCACACATTATGAATGGTTTTTATATCACACATTTATATAATACTATGTCAGCATATATGAATACATTTTATATCTAATAATTATGGTAATAATATCCTTAATTTTTTTGTGTGATGAGCAGCAATGCTTCCCCGGGATACTACACATACTCGAGTGAAATCCTCCCAGCCACTCCAACACCTCACAGTAGTGACTACACAGTGAATGAGAATGACTACCTCACTCCCCAAGGTGACACACCAGAACATCTTGGTCCAAAGTTTGCAAATTCTTACATAGGAGAGACTTGGATCCTTATGCGCCGTAATTTCATAAACATAAGGAGAACCCCTGAGCTTTTTCTATCAAGACTTATGGTTCTTACCATTATGGGCTTCATGATGGCCACCATGTTCCACAACCCCAAAGAAACCTTGCAAGGAATCACAAACCGTCTCAGTTTCTTTATCTTCACCGTGTGCCTTTTCTTCTTCTCTTCCAATGATGCCGTCCCTGCCTTCATCCAAGAGAGGTTCATCTTCCTCCGAGAGACTTCCCACAATGCTTATAGAGCTTCCTCCTACACCATTGCTGGTCTAATCACTCACATGCCGTTTCTTGCACTGCAAGCTACAGCATATGCAGCCATTGTTTGGTTTGCTCTGCAGCTTCGAGGCCCTTTCCTCTACTTTTGGCTTATTCTCTTCGTTTCTCTTCTGTCAACCAATTCATTTGTTGTGTTTGTGAGCTCAGTGGTTCCAAATTACATCTTGGGTTATGCTGCGGTGATTGCCTTCACTGCCCTGTTCTTCTTGTTCTGTGGATACTTCTTGAGCAGCCATGACATTCCCATTTATTGGCGTTGGATGAACAAAATTTCAACAATGACATACCCTTATGAGGCGCTCTTGATGAACCAGTTCCAGACCGATATTGTGTTTGGAGAAAATGATGGTATACCTGTTACCGGTTTTGATATCTTGAATAGTCTTCATATTGGGGTTCACGAGCGTGAGAAGAGGATCAATGTGCTTATGATGTTAGGTTGGGCTGTGCTATATAGGATTTTATTTTACTTAGTCCTTCGTTTTGGACCAAAAAACCAGAGGTCGTAGTAAACTATATCAAAGGGAAAGTGTGACACAAAGTTGACCATTTCATTTGTTTAAAAACATATTGTTTTATGCTGGGAGAACTGTTAGATCTGTTATTTCATTGTATTGTATTTGCAACAAGCTTATATATAAACCTATGGACATTGTACCTCTCCCAATAAAGTAAATCAAGGGGACTAGAGGAAGAAGCTTTTTGACAAATCACATTTCTGAAGATTGAATTTGTTATCTACCGTGAATGAAAAAAATAAAAAAAGACTTACTGATGATCTGGCTTTATTCAGGAAAAAATGGTGCTGATATGGGGAACAGAACTATCTCAAAGGGATAGTGGTTTCTTTAAGTGATTGTACATTTGTACTGGCTTCTAGTATGGTTCTGTATAAGCCTCTAATGCTTTTTATGAGTTTATGGCAATCTATGAACTTCATGATTAATTAAATGTTGCAAATCTTACTGAAGTTGGGTTTTCATGAAGCAATATTTTAAAGTAGAATTTAATTTAGATCTATTCTGTGAATAAACACCTGCAATTCAAGTCTTTTATGCAATCCGCCCTATGTCAACAATATCAACAACACATTTATTCTAAATTAATTGGGGTCGGTGGTAAAACGTAATCCGCGCTATGTATGGATATAAAATATAGCATCACAAATTGAATGTTGAGTTTGATACCTTCAAATCCATATATAGAAATGAGTGAAAAGCAATAATTTTGTGCCAAATTGCATAATCTTTAGGATTTTTCGTTGACAAAATACAAAAATAATTTTGAATAGAGAAATTCCGATTAAATTGACTTATTAGTGGTGAATCGAACGCTAATTTTAGATGCTATTGCTAGTTATAAAATAATAAAGGTTTTCTGCTAGTTACCACGCCAAGTGCTTGTTCGATGATTTTTTTGTTCATCAAAGACAATATGGAGAGGCAAAGTTTGGCCTTATTATGAAGGTTTTGTCCATGTGTAATATTAGCTGACAAAGATTAATTGGGAAATATGCCAATAAATACATTGGAAGCATCAAATTCGCTTTGTCGGGTATAGGCAAGCCAACTTGATCCCAAGTTTATCATTATGAAATAATATTTAAAAACTTTAGCCTAATAATATATGGGTTTTCATTTTATCATTTAACATAACACAACAAACTTTCTTACACTCACAACATTTTGTGGGGCCCACACTTTTTAAAATAAAAAAATAAATAAAAAATTAAGGCACGCAAAACGAATCTCTATAACATTACACAATCACTTTTCCTACAACATAACTCTTATAAAACCCGTAATATATAATACACGAAGAGGAATACCTTTAGCTGTACCTAACAGGCTAAATTAACAAGAGATTCCATTCCAAGATTAGTTTATTCTTATGTATATGTCACCATCTATTATATTTCAAAATTTTGGATAAACTCAAAATATTGGAATCAATTCAATTCCCATGATTTTATTTTACATTTTTATTTGGATAACCTTTTTAATGAAATTAGAATCAAGGACTACAAAACCTTTCCAGTAACCTTGTGCTTCAAAATGGTCTATTGATATTTCTCTGTAGTCCTCATTTGATATGAAACCTTCTTAAGAATGACAAGGTAGAGTAGTTTCGACCTCTTCGCTAATGATGATGGCAACTTCCTCAAGGTTGATGATAGTAGCAACTTAAGCTTCAATGTCCTCAGAGATGCCAGCTCCTCCTCCTCTTTCCCCATAACCCTAGACTGTTATTCTTTGGACGGACGTATGTGAGTCTCTTGGAATCAATAAATCTTGATTTGTTGATATGAAAATTATAATCAAATTACTTATATAATTTTTCCATTCTTTAATTTTTTCATTATCCTGAAATCTTTTTTTTCTTTTTTGTTTCAAAAGAATTATTATTATTATTAGTAATAGTACTACATATAATTTTATTGTAGAAGCACAATGGCATGTTTGAAATATGTTACAAATCTATATACATATATTAAAATTGGCTCTTTAAAGTATAATGTCATGTACTTTAAAAAATTGATGTGAAAATTCAGAAATGAGTAATCACTAAATTATCTACAATTTCTATATATAAAGAAGAATAAACACAATTATTAACTACAGGTGATGCATCGATCATTAATCTCAATTGTATAATCCAAATTGAAATATTAAGCACACAAAACTCTCCTTATATAAATTGATATATTAGATTCTTAACACATTAGCGAATATTTCATGAAACATTAAATATTAACGATAAATATATTCAAAATATTTCATATATATATATACACACACAGGAGCAGGGATCATCTTATACCGGTCTAAGAATAATAAGTCTTACATCAAATCTTAATCATTGATTTTCTGTATCTAACAGTTAAGATTTATTAGGTCTCACTCATTAATTAATTTTTAATTCCCAGTAAATCTCAATTATTGAATCCACGGAATATATGTCAAAATTTCAAGAAGATAATTACTTTCCTTCCATTTATATATAGAAATAATAGCCTAAACTGCTCCCTTAGAGGAGGAAAAAAATCTCCAAAACTTATATCCAAACTGCAACTCACTTAACTATCTAAATTAAGCAAAAGTGGCTTCGAAAACAGTTATAAATGAAGAAATCTAATAATTACAGACACTGTCATTTTCCAAGTTTTGAGAATTTATAGCAAGTTTCAAGTCACAGTTTTCTTTTTCTTTTTTAATCATATATAAGCTTCTAATAATCTATATATTTTCAAATCAAGGTTTTCATTAACCGATTAGTTTATAAATTAAAATATTAAAATATTACTAATAACTTACAGCAATAGCAGTTTATAAATTTTCTTTTGGTTGTTACTAAAATAAAGATAATCGGAACATGGCTAACCACGACTAGGCATGATGATGACTGAATCAAAATTTTGAAACTTAAATGCTAAACTTTTATAATTTTTAAATCCCTTTTACCCTAAGCTTTGAAATTACCGGCAATATGCAAGATTTTCTTTGCAACTTGTTACCATGACTAATACTAAAAGTAACGAAACAACTAATTATTATTATTTTTTAGCACAACAGAACAAGTTTTTATTTATATAATAACTACTCAACTGCTTGAGCCTTGAAGTATTCTTTGGGATTTGACCAAGCAAAACGTTATACGTCAAGGATATCAACATCTATCCTTTCTGTATTTACAATGCCTTTTAATAATTTGGATTTTTATGCCTGTGGGTTCGTAAAATTTGAATAATACAAAAAGTGATGAGATTATTGGAATCAGGAAAATTGCATTTACTAAACATAGAATAAGTAATCAATTTTACTTGCCAAAGGTTGTTTGAATTAAAGAGAGAGAGAGAGATTAGTTAGTAATAGATATAATTAATAGGAACAATTTATTAATTACAAACTAATTTCTTATATCTATATTGTCATTTGCAATTAAATATGGCTCTTGGGGTTCTCTCAACGTGACAGTCACTCCAACCTTTACAGTTTGAGGACTCCTACACTCAACGGGAAAGAGAGAAGAGGAAGAGCAACTTTTAACTTGAAGAATGATCAGTAATATTATTAAGATACAAAAATCTAAAAAAATACTCATATCTACGCTCTAATTTACCTTAGAGTATAATACCATATATATAACCATCCGATCTGATCACTGCACATTAAAACATATTTAATCATATGATAATATTATGTGCACAGTTGACCATCTTGTTTTTTACGCATTATGTAGATTTTTTAATCAATATATCCAGCAACCTCAAAGACAAATGTGGAGTGGATCCTAATCAGAGTTTATTTTTATATAAAACAATTAATGAAAATTATGTATATAACTTTTTATAGAGTCTTTGTTATCTTTTCTTTTTGGAGTCCAATTAATGAAAAGTTACGTAAATCTTTTTGATATAACTTTGATAATAGGTATGATCCAAGCAATATGGAAATAATAAAGCTATAATATTTATGCAAATAATTATATGGACCACAAATTCAACGAAATCTTCGTAAACGATGCTAATTTAATTTGTAATGTAATTTTCAGTCTGTTCATGTCATGCGGAACAGTTAGGTTAGTACTCCAAGCATCTCAAGGGGTTACCTGTTCTTTTGGGGTTTCCTTGAGCCACTTCCTAATTTCTTAATTGCTCGATTTCAAATTTTAAGCAAACTATTATAGAAAATATGAAAAGGAACAATTAATGAGTTGATTGTGCTAAGCATAAAATAGAACACGTACAGTCTCAGCTTTGAAACTTCTCATAACCATTATATTATAATATTGATCAATATTAATGGGAAACTTAAGTATATAAATATATAATACTATTAAGTATGTCTCGGCAACAATGCATCACTAACAACTTGTAAGTAAGTATACCAGAAAATTAAAAATTTATTCCAAGATACCTCTCCCTATTCTCATCATGGTTATAAAAAATGAGAGGAACAAAGGCGGAAGAAGACGAAGGCTTAGTCTGTCCAATTATTTTAAACCATATCAATATTAAATACATATAATCAATCACCACCAAAACAATAAGAATAATAATGTTTAAGATCAATGATATAAAAATATAAAAACTATAGTTAACTATGGATTTGTACTAATTCAATCTATAACTCGTCTTCCATCTCTTTCCTAGCTACCTCCTGCAGTTTCTCAGGCCTAAAAGTCAAACTCATTTTTCTAAGAGTATTGTTTCTTCTAACCCTCCATCTAGTTGAGCATTTCTGCAAAAATGGCTTCAAATTCTTCCACAAGGGAATGGTAGAACTTTTATAAGGTTCGCCGAATTATAGGATTGACTAAGGTTCTTTGTTTTTTTTTAAGGATCTGAGCATATAAGGAAGCTAAAGAGTGTTTGGTTATCAAGGCAGAGAAAGAAATGGAATTCACAAGTTTTATGGTATTTGGTGGAAGATGAAAAATTAGTTGGCATGGATTCAAGTTTGACAACATCATGGGGTAACCTCTTTTTGAGATGATGATGGAACTACCGGATATTTGGATAATAAGATTGGTTGTGGCATATGCTCTCTGTCTTTGTATATTTATCAGATCAGCTTCTGCAACTGAAGGTTAGTAACTAAATACTATAGTTCTTTTAGATAATTGTATCTTTTACTTGATTTCTTTCTCTTTAATTATAGCAAGCAACTTATTTTAACATGAACTCATGGCCTAGAAATGAATCTTAGTTAAAAATGGAAAAAAGAAAGAAAGAAGGAAACTTCTTTGCAAGGATATAAAAATAGAACTAGTAGTTTCATTCCTTTTAGTTTTTATACTGAATGAATATTAAAACCACTTCATGCTTTCTTTTTCTGATGTAGATCAAATTTCTTTAAGGGGAAATCCAGTTTTGTACAAAATGTTTGTAACCTGTGACATTTTCTGTGCAGGGTTCGAGAGCATAGCATGCTGTGCTGATTCAAATTACACAGATCCACTGACCACCTTAAATTACACAACAGATTACAGCTGGTTCTCTGATAAAAGTAGTTGCAGATCAATATCTGAAATTGGGTTAAACCACAGTAGCAATGAAAATTTTCGACTGTTCAATATTGTTAAGGGAAAGAGATGTTACAATTTGCCAACAATTGAGAATAAAATATATCTGATAAGAGGCACATTTCCATTTGACAGTTTAAATTCTTCCTTTGATGTTTCAATTGGGGTGACACCATTAGGTGCAGTGAGATCGTCCAGCCTTCAGGACTTGGAAATTGAGGGAGTTTTCAGAGCCACCAAAAACTACATAGACTTCTGCTTAGTGAAGGGGGAGGTTAATCCATTTATTTCTTTGCTTGAATTAAGGCCATTGCAGGAAGAGTACCTAGATGGTTTGCCTAATAGTGTTTTAAAACTGATAAGCAGAAATAATCTTGGGGGAACGAAAGATGATGATATCAGGTACCTGATCTACTTTATGTTTTACGTAAATTCCACCTCCATTTGACAAAAAAAGTGTATCTCCTTGAAACCTATAGAACTTAAAGGTTATTGCTTTTTGGTTTTTATAGAAGCAGCATACTCATACACTGAAAAATCAACATCGTTCTCTGTAGGGGATACATAATTGCAATGTGTGTTATGCCCGATCATGTTTTAGACCAAGTGAATTTGAGCAGCATGATGCATGAACCTTACCTACAAATGCATGAGAAAACCTATGCTTCACTTTATAGAAAGAACTATGAGATGCTTGTACACCTTTATATTAACTTTTTTCTTTATGATGCAATGAGATGCACCTGAATGAAAAATAACAACAAATAAAGAAACAAGAAGCAAGAAATCTATGCATCATAATATGCAAATCATAAGAATACCACTGCCGCTTCAGTTTGGATATCTTAACTGGTGCAAACTGCACAGAGAATTATGTCAATATGGTGTATCCTTAGTTTTCTATTGAAATGATTTATGCTTAGTGTTTGGTCTGTAACTTTGTTTAGTTCCTCTGATGCCGTGGACTATATACATGGACAGAAAGGTCTCACAATATGGCTACTTACCAATTTTAGGTACCCAGTTGACCAAAGTGATAGAATCTGGAAAGCAACTTCAAGTTCATCATCTGCTCTTCCATTGTCTTTCAATGTCAGCAATTTTGACCTCAAAACTAATGTGACACCTCCTCTACAAGTACTACAGACAGCTCTTACCCACCCTGAGCGATTGGAGTTCATCCACAATGACCTTAAGACTGGGGATTATGTATACCGTGTGTTTCTCTATTTCCTTGAATTAAATAGCAATGTCAAAGCAACCCAAAGGGTGTTTGACATCTATGTTAATAGTGAGATTAAAGAGGAGAGATTTGATATATTGGCTGGAGGTTCCAACTATAGATACACTGCCTTGAACGTTTCAGCAAATGGATCACTTAATGTAACCTTGGTCAATGCATCTGGGTCTGAGTTTGGACCCCTTTTGAATGCTTATGAGATCCTGCAGGTAAGGTCATGGATTGAAGAAACCAACCAAACAGAAGGTAAGTGTAATTGATCTTATTTACCTGTTTTACAATCCATTTTCTTATTCATCTCTGAACTAAGTTTTCCATATTAATGAATTTTAATTTGTAACTAATCTTCAATCTCTCTCTTTCTTACCCAAACACTTCTTATTTCTTCAGTGGAAGTCGTTCAGAAGATGAAAGAAGAGTTGTTGTTACAAAACCAAGACAATAAAGCGTTGGAGAGTTGGGCTGGAGACCCTTGTATTCTTTTCCCCTGGCAAGGAATAGCATGTGATCGTTCAAATGGTTCACCTGTTATCACTAATCTGTAAGTCATTCCATCCTCCTAATAATGCTGCCATAAATACATCAAACTCAGATTATGGCTTTAATGCATGTACTTGCTTTTTATAAACCAATCAATATCTCTAGCTAAGCTGGTTTTATTTAGATAAATCTAAGCCTCATTTCTAAGTGCTTATTGTTCTATTTTTCCTCTTTCCATTAGGTGTTTATTATTATGTACATTGTTATTTTATTTGTTTTTTCCAGAGATCTTTCCTCTAGTAATCTCAAAGGACCAATCCCTTCCAGTGTCACTGAGATGACCAACTTAAAAATACTGTATTGCTTCTAAAACTCTTCTACTTCGGCATTTATTTTAGGTGGGTAATCCGAGACTCTTTTTTATGCATTGCTGTAATTTTGTCATATGCAGGAACCTGAGCCACAACAGCTTCATGGGTTATATCCCCTCTTTTCCTCCTTCCTCCTTGTTGATATCAGTGTAATTATCCCTTCTCATGCTCAACTATGACCTAGGATGATACTATATAAGTTACAGCACTTCTATTATCCTTGTCGATGTTCTTATAAACTATAAGCACACCATGCCACTTTATTTGAAGCAGTATGAAATTGTCTAAATAATTTCACAACAAAATAAGTTCTTATAATTCCATGCCAAGTGTGGAATCTTGTAAAGGTGAACTGAAATATCATGTTACATATATTGCTGGATTCCAATCATAGAGAAATTTCCTTCTGTTGCTAGTGTCATAAAAAAAATTACCACTCAAACTTTTTCAAATGTTGATTGATTTAAATTTATGGACCAGAGATCTGAGCTACAATGATCTTATGGGACCGCTTCCAGAATCGATTATCTCACTGCCTCATTTGAAATCATTGTAAGTTTTATATGTTGGCATTCTGCTTCATCTATACTAGGAAGCTTCTTTTAATCATTGTTAATTTTTTAATATACTTTCCACCACAAATTGCTTGCATTTTATTTATTTCCAGATATTTTGGCTGCAACCAAAAAATGAGCTACGAGGATCCAGCAACGTTGAACAGTACACTAATCTATACAGAGTATGATATATTCCCTGAAAATAAAAATACGATTTTTCAATAAAAAAAGCAATTATATATTTATTTCCACATTAATATTTCAGTTACGGAAGATGCAAATCAAAAGAACCCAGATTTGGACAAGTAATTGTTATTGGTGCTGCTACATGTGGATCACTTTTGATTACTTTGGCTGTTGGAATTCTTTTTATTTGCCGCTATAGACAAAAATTAATTCCATGGGAGGGATTTGGTGCAAAGAACTACCCAATGGCAACAAGTAGGCATTTTTATCTTCTCTAATCCTTCGTATCCTATTTGTCTATTTGCTTATTAGACTAACAACCAAAAAATATAGGTCACATCATTCTTTAAAGACAATCTCAGATCATAATATCAATGGCTTTGAAAGATGTCACCTATAATATAGTGCATGGTTTTTCATAAGAGAAATTAGTTTTTAACTTTTATTGGCTTCTACAAACATGCAAAATTCTGCTGTTCTGCATAAAGGTTTAAGGGGCCTTACATCTTTAAATTGCTTTCTCCTTCACTTCGCTTGTGTTCTAGATTTCCTCAGTCTCTTACCCCTATGATTAATTCCATTTTTCTTCTATAGATTTGCTTGTACCATACACACATAAGTAAAGGAAATATAGGGTAAAACTAGTATTTCAGTCAGGAACTCGCATATAATGTTGTATATAATGATGAAGGTAATGAAGGGGAAAATATATTAGAAAATGAACATATCCTGTGCAAATTTCTACATAGATGGCTACAAAATTTTTGCATTCGATCCCTGTACATTTTGTATACCTAGTAACAAGAATGTCAAGGACAACAGCCATAATTATGATCATGATAGATGATATTAGTATGAGTTGAAGAACATTGCTATCGCTGTGTGTTTTATTCTGTATGAGGGAAATGCTGATTTTAGCATGTAAGGTTTATAGCCCAATCTACTCTACATATATATGACATATTCTTCTACAAAAAACATGCAGATTTAATTTTCTCTTTGGCAAGCAAAGATGATTTCTTCATAAAATCCGTTTCAATTCAACCATTCACTTTGGAAAATATAGAGGTGGCCACACAGAGGTACAAAACTTTGATAGGTGAAGGAGGGTTTGGTTCTGTTTACCGGGGCACTCTAAATGATGGTCAAGAAGTGGCAGTGAAAGTCCGGTCAGCCACATCAACTCAGGGAACTCGAGAATTTGATAATGAGGTAAAACAGGCTTTTTTAAATTATTAGATGTATCTAAGTTTCCATGAAATGTTCCTAATTTTAAATTTTTAGGCTGCGTGCAATAATGCAAAAGCTGATGTTTGCCTAACCTGGCAAATGCCAATGAAGAATATAAAATATTCTGTGTGTCACAATATTCCCAGCTTATACCTTCTCCCACCCCTCTTCATTGAAATTGGAATATTTCAATAATATCCCTATTTTTTTTTCCTTGGCAGAACTTTCTATATCTAACCATCTAACTAGTCTATGATGCATCATGCAGCTGAACCTACTTTCTGCAATACAGCATGAGAACCTGGTGCCTCTTCTTGGTTACTGTAATGAAAATGATCAACAAATTCTCGTGTATCCTTTCATGTCCAACGGTTCTTTGCAAGATAGACTATATGGTAAATATCCCACAATTTTTTTCAGCTGATATGTTTTGATACCTAGTAATTCTAAAATTCAACATGACAACAGGGGAGCCAGCAAAGAGAAAGGTATTAGACTGGCCAACTAGACTCTCTATTGCTCTTGGTGCAGCTCGAGGCAAGTAATATGATGTTTTATTTTTACTGAGCTTGCATCATATCAGGAAGGAGAAAGAATGAAATAAAGAAAACCTTGAGTGATGCATCCTTAAATTTCTTCACAAGATTAACTCTGTTGCTGACCTAATAGACTGCGTTATTTTTTTCATCTATAACATGTCAGGGACTCTAGTGTTTACATGTTGTCTGATTGAGCAGGTTTGGCATATCTTCACACATTTCCTGGACGTTCCGTAATACACAGGGACGTAAAATCAAGCAATATCCTTCTGGATCATAGCATGTGTGCTAAGGTTGCAGATTTTGGTTTCTCAAAATATGCTCCTCAGGAAGGAGACAGTTATGTTTCCCTTGAAGTAAGAGGAACTGCAGGGTATCTGGATCCTGAGTAAGTGGACTTCTACTATTATGTCTTAACCTGAACTTCTCATACTGCTCTCTTCTATCACTTTTAGCAGAGGATTTATTACAATTCCAAAATGACTGCACAGACTCTCCTATTATTTACTGCATTCTGTGGTTGTTTCATGGAGGCTCTGTCTATCACAGAGAGATTGAAGAAATGATTCTGATTATATTTCCTTTATGAAGTGCATATTTATTTATAGATATATATGCAGAAACTAGATAGTTCCATATCATTAACAACAGATTATAAGGGATAATTACCTGTGTGAATTCAGATGAGATGAAGAATAATATGATACTCCTAGTCCTATACAGAATGCAACCAAACAAAAGCTGACATTTATCTCTATGCAGATACTACAAAACCCAGCAATTATCTGAAAAAAGTGATGTCTACAGCTTTGGGGTGGTTCTACTTGAAATTGTCAGTGGTCGGGAACCTCTCAACATTAAGAGACCACGGAGTGAGTGGAGCTTGGTTGAATGGGTATGGTCCTTGCCTCCCCCCCACTGTATTGTACCAATACCCAAATCACATTTTGCTTATCCATTTTAAATCCTATGTGATTATATTAAGTAGGCACTAAGAAGTAACTTTGCATGCAGGCTACACCATATATAAGAGCGTCAAAGATGGATGAAATTGTGGATCCTGGCGTAAAGGGAGGATACCATGCAGAGGCAATGTGGAGAGTGGTGGAAGTAGCACTGCAATGTCTTGAACCCTTCTCAACATTTAGACCAAGCATGCTTGACATTATCCGTGAGTTGGAAGATGCTCTCATTATAGAAAACAATGCATCCGAATACATGAAGTCCATAGACAGCCTTGGAGGATCCAACCGCTACTCTATTGTCATAGAGAAAAGGGTGCTACCCTCAACTTCAACTACAGCAGAATCAACCATCACATCCCAAACCTTGTCCCACCCACAGCCGAGATAGTAAATGGCTGAATGGAATTCTTTTGATTCGTTTTTGATAATTGTTTTAGTCATATCACATTCTAAATGGTAAAGGAGAAAATACTACTACTGATTATACTTTCATCCATTCTATGCATCTTGAAACTAAATCTCTCTTGCTCAGCCCCATTTTTTATGGGTGAAAAGAATAATTTGAGTCAAATGCTAGAGAAACTATATATGATGCAGAATTCAAAGGTCGTATCATTTGCAAAGTCCAAACTTGACAAGTAAAGATTGCACAAATTAATTTGAGTGTGATTTAATATAAGGCAGTTCAACAATGCATTCAATAGAGCTATAGACACTTGGTTGGACCGTGACAGATTCGGTAAAGCAGGACGAGCACCCAAGTTTATGGAGAATACTCAAAGTTCAGCCTAACAATTACTAAGAGTTCCTCCTATCCCTTTTTTCCTTTGTTTGGGTTCTGTATAATTATAATTAAGTCTTAATCACGATTTAGACACTAGGGATAAACTTACAATCATTGCGTTAGTATCTTCCTAGATCAATGGTTTCAGGACCAGGATTTAATGTATTAAGCAGAAAGGTTGTTTCTTTGGGTGGCATTCATAAAACTCAATCTCTCAACAAAAACAAATTTGGGGTTGCCGCAACTCTCAAATGGCACCGAGGGAAAAAAATGATCATATTTTCTGAAACAATTCTATTAAAAAATATATTTAACGAAAACAATTCAATGGAAACCATCCATCCTCTTTTCTTTGAACGTGTCCTATTTCTTCATTGGGCACAAGATTGATTATTATAGTGCATAATTTTCAATTGGCTTGAAATAGATACATTCAAAACGTAGCCTCTCCCCAACTGTATACCAAACACTCATATTTGAACAAACATCCTAGTGCCGGATTGGATGGGATGATGTAGGAGAATAAGAAATTGTCAGTGGCGCTTGATTCAACCCAAGGTCTTTTTTTATTATTATTTTATAATTAACGTTTCAGATAAAGGAAGGAAAAGAAAATTGAAGCAAATATTTATCCACTTCTGAATTTGACAAACAATTACTAATGATAATGAGAGACAGTTAGTTCATACACTCTTCTTCCTCCCTTCCTCGACCCTCTTCTCCCTTAATATGCCGCTTCTTGAGTAATAATGAGTTGAAGACAGTACTAATGGAAAGATCTGAAATTGTAGGGACAACATATCTGCCATGTTATGCAGTAGAAAGACCATAAGTTCACATAAGAATTCATATGATTAGAATGCAGGCTTGAGTTCTTCAGGTACAGTAAAGTGGTAATATAATTTTCTCCCTCCACGGAAAATTTGACCTACACAATCATATTGAAAGACTAATTATTGAGGGGGAGGGATCATTTGACTCTAGAGTAAGATTTAAAAGTCTTACTCTTCATCCCAGCCCTTGATTTCCGTTCATCCAACGGTTATCATTTAGTAATTTAATGCATTAATTAATTATTAATTTCAAATAAATGATAACCGTTGGATGAACGGAAATCAATGGCTGGGATGAGGAGTAAGACTTTTAAATCTTACTCTGGAGTCAAATGATCCCTCCCCATTATTGAGATATATATATATATATATATATATATATATTCTCAATCTATGAGTATTCTATGATTCTTTTTGAGGGGGTTTGCAGTTAAACTTTTTTTTATCCTAATTTAATCTGCATTATTATTCCCTTCCCCAGACACTCACGAAGTGGGTATTTGAACTGGGTCGGCCCTTTTAATCTGCATTATTAACTACACTGTTTCTTCCATGTTGAATTATGACTCCTTATGAATACTTAAAATTAGAAGGAGAATGAGAACAAGCAAAAGGAAAAGGAGGGAGAGAAAGCTAAGCATCCGTATTTCCGAGCTTGTTTGAGTTTATGTAAGGGAGATGAGATTGTACAGAATCTGAGCCATTTAGAAGAAAGCTAAGTAAGGTATAGTTGTTATCCAATGGCTCAAAAAGAAATTTGTTAAGCGTGTGCAAAGAGTTTGTTAGGGACAATAATAACATTACTCAGGAAGGAGACTGTTATGAACAAAGAAATTATGTACACTACGGATTAAAACCTCGGAATAGAGTACCAATTGTACTTAAATCTGAGTGTGAATTATGTCACATATCATCAAATTAGTATGTTATCATCCATTTCTAGCTAGAGGGAGAAATCCAGATTCTGCTAAATGAGCTTAATTTTTCCTACAAAATGAAAGGTACCAAAGGTGATAATACTCTTAATCAATTGATGTATTCTTTCCATTACTACAATTAAGATGACTGATTTTGGTGGCCCTCAAGTGATTGAGTATGGCATGGAAGTATCTCACAAATGAAACAGAGGTGACAGAAGAACAGAGAATATGTAAGCTTCAATCCAAGGCATGTGCCGTGAACATATAGCCGCATTGGTAAGGACTTTAAGGTTGTGTTTGATGCATATTGAGGGATAGTACAAATAGGTTAGTACAGGACAAATGATTCGAGTTACAAGACAATTTTTTATGTTGCTAGCGGTTTAATGACCAATGCACATGACAGAAAATTTGTAATATCCATGAAGAGCATAACACATAATTTATTATAATACCCATTGGGTTGTGCATTGTTTTACGGGCAATAGAGTTGGGATAATGAAAGAGTGTGATTTGTCAGTCTCATTTTTTTGTTTTTAGATATTTGTGGTGTCCCTTTAGTTACTTTTTATCCAGTATACATACTATTCTAACACTTAAACAAAGTACTATTTTTGATGTGGTGTAGTGTCCCTTATTTTATAGCAAATCAAATGGACCCTAAAAGGCATTGTTACACGACAAACAGGGTAAAAAAATCTGAGAATTGCAATAACTTATGTCATTTTGTTAGTCCAAAGTTGCAAATAAAGCAGTGCAGTTAGCTATATAATGACCCAATAAATAGAAAATCAAGAACTAGATTTACATAACAAAGCATGACACTAATCAAATACTTCACTTTTGATTTCAAAATGACTTACAGATTTAGTGTTTGGTTAAGATTTTACATTATAGGTGGAGAGTAGTAATTACTGGAAAGCTACATTACAACATACATCATGTGGCAAAAAGAGAAGGGTTGGCTGATGCATTGCCCACTTGAACTTCAAGTAGTTCCAAGCGACGCTCCAATACATCAAGCTTCTCATTCAACGATGCTAACTTGCTCTTTGTTGTAGCCTCTGAACAAAGCAAACACAAACAAATGGGTATGTCAGGTCATAACATGAACCCCAGAAAAAATACAGAGTAAATTTCAATAACAAGAGAAAGGGTCTTTCAAAAAATTCAAATTTGAGATGTTTTTGGTGTGATTCAATATGATCCAGCACTCATAGAATACCCAATAACATAACAAAACAGAATAGCTCATCTTTCAAAAAAAAAATAAAAAAACAGAATAGCTTAAACGACACCAAGGTGGGTCGTTTCACAAGGCAACGAGACATTGATTGAGTTTGAGGGAAAAAGGGTATATACCAAATTGGACAAGGAAATCGAAGAGGCGACGAACATTGAGAGAAATGTGTGAGATGAATTCGCGGTTCTCCCAATCAGCTTGCACCGCGATTCCCACGTTTACTGCGTTTGTTATCCCTCCTGCACGTGCCATCTCTTCTTCTTCTTCTTCCCTGCAATTCCAGATCCAGTGCAAATGCACACTGCAGATTTGATTGCAGGGTTTTTCTTTATCCTACTTTCTAACACTGAGTCAAATGTTTAATGCAGTGTCTATATCCCAGAACTCGATATTTCTATTATGAGTTTTATAAGAGTTATATCGTAGGAAAAGTGAGTGTGTTATGTTACAGAGATTCGTTTTGCGTGCCAGAGTTTTTTTTTTTTTTGCTGCGGGTCCCACAAAATGTTGTGTGTGTAGGAAAATTTTTATGGTCATGTTAAATAATAGATGATAAACCCTTCTTTTATTAGAGTTTTTTTTTGTTAATATTAATCGCTATTTTTTGTTTTTGAAAAATATGTAATTGTTTAAAGGACACAAATTTATTTATTTTTTAAAGAAAGAAAGATACAAAGTGTTGTGAGTTTTACTTAAAAAAAAATAAAGATGTGACCTACTTCTTTATGTTTACCTCTCTCAAAAAAATTTAAGTTTGTATTCTGAAAAAAGATACACAATTTTTTTTTATCTGTTAATAATTAAGGAAAAAATATTTGTCATTCTAAATTATATAATTTTATATCATTTTTAATAAAACTATATCGTTTTGATGCGTTTTTATATGTTTTTTTATATTTTTTCTTTTTTATAAAATTAAGAAGAAGAAAAAATGGAGGAAAGAGAATGCATATCTCACAAAAACCATGTAATTTCATAGAATAATGATACAAAATTATGTTTTCCCATTAAATAATGGGAAAAATTATTCTCATGCTACATGAGATAAGTTTTCTCTCCTACACACCCTTCGACAACTGTGTCACATTTTTCTTTTTTTGTCTTTTTATGTTTTCAAGTGGTGGAGTTTATAAGTTTGTTTCTATGATATGAGATAACTTATCTCCTTTGAAATGAGATTAATAAAACCCTTAATTAATTAACAAAGTATTTGAATTTCATTTGACAAAAGTAGTACGTGCCTTCTATATAATCACATTACAAAGACAGATAAGTAATGTAGATATTTGATATATAAATTCTAATAACAAGTGCAAAAGCTTTATTTGTTGAAGTAACCTGCACGTTTTTTAGTCTGTCTATCATTGTCAAATACAGTTCATATATGGATATTTATTTAATGGAACACAATAAGAATGGTCTTCTTTAATAAATAGTTTTTTTTTTTTTTCATTGGTGTAGCAGGAAGGATATGGAGATTTTTATTTTTATTTTTAAATTTGTCAGGAAGTTAAAAAGTGGGTTGAATAATGATGCCACCAACAAAAAGAAAAGTAAATGGAGGACTGGGTTCTTCATATTTGAAATACCAACTTAATTTGATTGCTAATCTAATTTAATCTATCTCATCAAAAAAATGCTTCTTATTTGATGGTTGAAATGTCCTTTCAGCGGTTCAAGTAGATTTAGAAATATTTTTAGTTAGATCCAATTATTTATGGGGAAAGTACTTCTTACGTGACTGCAGAAGGAAAAATTTGCAGCAACACAGGATACGCGTCCGAATTCTGGATTTTTTTTGTTTTTTTTGTTTTGATAAGATCCGCACGTGTATCTTAGGATCCGCACGTGTATCCTAGTGTTAAAAATTTGCTGCAACTTTTCTTATCAGCAGCCACATGAGAAGCGACGGATCCATTATTTATATATATAAATATAGGAAATTATACATCTCCTGTGGTAGAAAATGTTTCATCTTATTCCACAGACACAAACACATATGGGGCTACCGTTTTTTTTAAAAAACAAAAACAAAAAACAAAAAATAAAAGTGTTCCACAATTTTCAAACTATTACTAGGAGATGAATAAATCTTCTTGTAACAGGAGAAATTATTCTTCCATAAATATATAATATTATTCTGAATTTAAAAGTAAAAGTAGTATTAATCCTGTCATTTTTTTGGGTCTCGATCCAAATAGAGTAGATTTAGAACCGTGCCAGCGTCATACTGCATCGGTTTTTGACATTTCGGTGTCTTTTTAAGTGTTTTTATGAAAATAGATCATCTTATATATTATTTAACATAATTATGTAATGTAAGAGAATTCTAAGTCCTAATCATATAAGAGTGAAATAAGAATGCTGATTTTATAATTATCTATTACAATATTTTTTTCTCTTTTCTGTATCACTATTGATTCATTTTTGTATAATTATAATTTTTTTACATAATATAATCATATTAAATAAAATATGAGATCAACTCGTGTTTTTATACGTTGTTTTTAATTCTAGAACATTTTCATAATTTTATGTTTGTTTTAATTATATTCTTAGGATTAATCAACACCATATAAAAAATGTTTAAAATTGTTATTAAGGAGGGTTGAATATTTTTTATATTTTGATAATCATAATTGATAATGTTTCTCTTTTCAATTTCAATTTCCTGCTTAGCTCAACTTGTGTATTTGACATTATCAAGTATCAAAGTCTGTACAATGACTTCCAAGACTTTTAATATAGCAATTTTGTTTCTGGAATGTAGCATATTTGTGAAAATAAAACAAATTCGAGGTTAGACCTTTTCCTATCAAAAGAGAAGAGAATATAAACATAAAATTTGATTCAGAATTATGCGTGTAAATGTAATTTTTCAAGAATTCTTAAAACATTTTTTTTTTTAAATTTCAATGACATTTTTTTAATTTTATATTTTAATTTTAATTATATCTTAAAAATTAATCAACGTCATATTTTAAAAATTAAAGATATTTTTTCAACGAAAATATATTACAAAAAGACAGTTTCCTGAAGTTAGATCATCCACCCACACCCACCTACGATTAGTCACCCATCCATCCCCCACTTGAGCAAGACGTGAAGGCAAGGAATCAGTTGTTAGAACGCAACTTTCCCAATTTTCTATGTATTATTTTAGGAACGTGGGTGAGAAGTGTTGGTTTGATCAAATGATGAAAGAATTGATTGCTAAAAAAAAAAAAAAAAAGCTAATAGCAAAATCACTGATTTAAAAATATAAATTCCTTTAAATGTTGTAAAGTAAAATTAATTTTAAATGTATCCATATTATTATATCTAGAAAGTTGAGTCACACACTCATTTGAAAATAATAGTGTGGCCAACTCTATCCTGAAGCTGCAACTGATAATAGGCCATTGTGCCTGAGCAATGCATCTGGTGTTGGTTCTCGCCCACGGAATTGCACAAAGACCTGCATACATCAATCAGCATTACATGTTCACTACTTGATATAAACATAAAAGATGCTTACTCCACATAACTTAGCCATATTTCTTCTATTAACAAAATGCAAAAAAAAAAAAACATGAATAATGGAGTGAAGGGGTGTTGTTCTGATGTATTTCTTACCTCCAGTGGTGCCTTGCCACCTCCAAGAGCAAGAATGGTCTCCCGGAACTTGTGTCCAGTTTCTTTAACAGCCTGTGTAAACACACAATCATCAAAATCAAACACGTAACATGTTTGGTAATTATAATAAGGGTTTCGATTTTCTCATGCAGTAGGAGAAAATTTTCTCATATTGTAGACACATCTTACGCGGGGCCCACATCTATTAAAAAAATAAAAAAGCAAAAGAAAATATTGCACACAAATCGAAGGGTCAATAGTAGAAGAAAACAACTCTCCTACGACATGAGAAAATATTTTCCCTAATAATAAATATTAAACCATTCAAAAAATAGTTTGAGTTTGCAAGATCATCACCAGTTGAGGAAAAAGAAAGTTGAGGGTAAGGGGAGGCAAAAATATAAAGTATAATAAACTTATAAACCAAGTTAAATTAAATGTGGGACAACAGGCTGAACAGAGCCACTTATTGCTTGAAATTATCACTTTTCAAATGGCAAAATAATCTCCTTTTTAAACCATCCTGGGAAAATTCAAACCAATACTACCCTAAATCCAAACCACTAGAACTCACAAGCACTTAAATTTCAAGACTGTTAACAACACTTCCAAGACAGCAAAACTCAACTAATTTCAAAGATAAGTAACATCAATTTGGTCCCTCAAACAAGAAAAGTAACATCAAAATCATCCTTTGGGGACTAAATTAATGTTATTTTCGATTATTGAAGGACTAAAATTGATGTCAATTTTCTATAATTGAGAGATTATATTGAAATCATTTTTTTATTATTGAGGGACTAAACTGATATCACTTTCCATCTCTCAAGAACTACATTGATGTTACTTATCTTTCAAGGACAAAATTAATGTCAACACAATCATTGTGGGACAAAAATGATTGTTAAAATCTTGAAAAAGTATTAGGTGATAAAAGAACATAAGCTACTTTTTTATTCAATTATAAATAATTATGAAAAATAGGGGATTTTGAAGATCAAACACAAAATCAAGTTCTTAAACAGTAAAGCCAATCCTTATTTACAGTTTTTTTTTTTTTAATCAAATATACCTTGCCGTTATCCAATCCAGCATCCTCAAATGCAGAGAAAGCATCTGCAGACAGCACCTCAGCCCACTGCACAACAGATAAATTCACCGTAAGATATAAATTAGTTTTTTTCTTTTTCCTTTGTTGGAGGGACATGAGAAGTTCTGTAGGGGAATAGGGAGGGTAAAAGTGGAAAACAAAAGCAGGGGGCGAACCTACCAAAACCAGAAAAGAAAAGTGGACAAGCCTAACAAAACTGGGAAAGAAATGTCCATCATTATTAAAGCAGTATAGAATATACCTTGTAGCTATAGTATCCAGCTGCATATCCACCTAACAAATACAAAATCCAGAAAAAATAAAATCAGTTTTGTCAATATACTTTGCATAATTACAAAGAGATATAAGAGGCACAACAAACCTGCAAATATATGACTAAAGCTGCAAAGGAACCTGTCCTCTGGTAATGGAGGAATCACTTGAGTTTTCTCAGAAACTCTGCGGTCAACATCATATATGGATTCTGGTCCCCCTGGAACATATTTTGTATGAAGTTCCAGATCTACACTTGCGAATTTTATCTGCAAATCATATTGACAGATATAGATTACAAGGCTAATCATGTATTTAAAACATAAAATACAAAACACAAGAAAGAAAGGTCAGAATCAGCATAAAAAGTAGGTTCACTTAATAGAATATTGAAGCCTCACAGACAAGTTACTTCAGTTCACTTAAGAATAATAGAACCCAAGAAAAAAGCTTGTATGAAGAAATGCAATTATACCAAAAAATATAATAAGAATTAACAGCATCTTAAATCAGTTTCATTACATCCTTCTTGAACAAGCTGCAAAGACAAAATTTTGGGATCACCGAGTAAAGCCATTATGGAATAAGAGACGGGGAGAACCACAGAGTACCAATACTAATGCAGACTGCTTAGCCTACTCCAAACCCACAAGAACAAAATAGTTATCTCATAACAAAGTTCAAAACTTGAAATGAAGTATATATTTCCCCTTATAAAACCACTCCTCCTTGAACCCCGACTAGCGAGGATGAGATGAGGACAATCCTTGTACGCAACTATACTCTTGCATATTTGCAAAGAGGCTGTTTCCCGGATTTGAACTCGTGATCTTTTAATCACAAATGAACAATTTTATCACTGCTCTAGGCTTGCCCTCTTTATATATTTCCACTTATATTGCACATAAACCATATGACATTGTGAACGTGAGAAAAACATAAATTGATAAGCTAATTTAAATAAAAATACAGAAAGGAATAATTATCCAATACATAAACTGACCTGTCGAAGACTTAGAGAGCCAGCTCGATAAGTCCTAGCAGCAACAAGCTTCAAATATACATCTTCAGGGAGACTCTCCCCATTTTCAAAATGCTTTGCAATGCCCATTAAAGTCTCTCTAAAGCAACAAAAAATGCCTTAAATATGAATGCATGATACTCTGGTTAAAAAATCATAATGTTATTTTATATACAAAAGATATTAATGTGCGAAAATTCGCCTCATATAAGGCTTTAAAATGGATAAGATCACTCAAATCAAACAAGCCCAATAATTTCCAAGTGCCGTATAGGGATAAAATGGGAAGAAGTTGAAATGTTGAACATAAAACCAAGAGCATGCATCATTGATGCCTCAGGGACAAAGGATAATTGGAAACAATCAGATTTTACAAAACATATATGTCAAAAATTATTCAAGAGACTTAATCAAAAGAGGATGAAGCTAATAATATACAGTTATAACATACAAAGTTCATTCTTCACTCTGGTTATGAGTTATGACAAAAAAGAAGGCTGAACATAACATCCATGTAAGACAAGGGTATGAACCTCACATGGACATATACTCATACTTACCTATGGTAACACCAGTTTTCCATAAATTGAGAAGGCAACTCAACAGCATCCCACTCTATCCCTCTAATACCAGCAACAAGACCCTCATCTTGCTTAGTAAGCATGTGTTGAAGTGCATGGCCAAATTCATGGAAGACAGTCTCAACCTGAGAAAAAGGGAAAGACAAAAGGATAGTTCGTGAACCATTAAGAATACATACTCAGTAAACAAATTAGTAACTGCAACTCATTCTGCACATTAAGAATTATTGTATCTCAGTTGCTATATCATGCCTTAGTGATCAATCAATTTTATTATGCCAAAATGTAAGAAACTACCGTCAACTATAGTTCAATTTCAGAAAACCCCCATGTGATTCAAAACTCAACAACTCAACCCCTTCAACTTATCAAACTGTGAATAACTCCATACAGGGTTTTTTCTTTTCTTTTCTTTTCTTTAACTTACTAATCTATGAAAACTTTGATAGCACAGTTATTAAGATATAGTGTAGAATTTTAAACTGTTGTAAATCTTGATATGTTTCATTCAGGTTAAAATCTTTTACATAATTGACTTCACACTTCACAGTTCACACTCGCACCAAAGAGCTGGATCTTCCCAAGTAAGGCTGTCCACTGCCCAAACTGAATTTATTACACAGTCCAATACATCATAATTAAGAGGAATCTAAGCAAGAAATGTCTTCATATCAAAAATTCAAAATATGTCCTAGAATACAGTCAATTCGAAAAATAGTGAGAGATCATTCATGCATTCAAACCAAATATTAAAACACAGAACCCCATTAATAAATACCATTCTTACACAATTGTTCTAGTGGTCTTTGACTCAGTCTAAAATTTGCAAGGATTGAGATCAAAACCAGACGCAGACACTACCAGTGGCAATTAGTGTTCCCATTAGCATAGCCCAACCAGCTCTTTTTTATTGCATAGATAATGATAGCTAAAAAATATGAGATAGATAAATACATCAAGTAAACTGAGGTTACCTCTCGGAACGTCATTAGACTTGGCTTGTTTCCTACTGGAGGGGTTTGATTGCATACCATGTGGGCAACAGGCAACCTTGCTGAGGTACCATCACGTGATAATACACGACTACGAGCAACAACTTCATCCATCCATGCACCTTGCCTTTTTTCAGAAGGACGGCTATAAGGATCAAAATAAAAATACGCAATTGGACTACCTGAAGAATCTTTAACGCGAAAGAACTTGACATCATTATTCCAAACCTGAATAACAATAATCATGTATCAGAAAGTTTAAAACAGATGCTACTCAGTACAAGCGCCATAGCTGAACAAAGGTAACTCAGTGTTACCGGAGCTAGACCATCAGCTGCCTCAATTTCAATGCCAAAAAGTGTTTTTGCAAGGCTAAAGAGTCCATCCATAACCTTTGGCAGAGAGAAAAATGGACGCAGTTCTTCCTATGAGACACAGTAACAGAAGTCTGAGCTTTCCAAGGCAGATTAAAAGTTTTGATATCAAAAGAGAAAGACTGACATATTATTAAAAGCAATAAAATCTTGAAACAGTTGGTACATTAGTCAATGGAATGAACAAGGATTAGCAAACAATATAATTAGAGGGTGGGACTGTGAGAGGAAGAAACTCCTACGTGGCTGATGAAGAATGAACCAAATTATGAAACTTTCCCTTTAATAAAATATGTCGTAGTGCAGTGTTAGAGAACATAAAATGTTTACACAAGTAGCAAAAAAAATAAAATTCATATGTAGGAACAAAAATATGGAAAACAAAGTATGAGAACCTTCTTGGTAGTAATTACAAACTTTAGAAATGAAAAATTATTTTAATTGCATGGGGCCTGTATGATTCACATTTTAAAGCCCGAGTATCCATAGGATATTTACAACATTCAACCAAATGTCACAAAATATTTTGCATACTTATGATAAATTCCTGTAATTTTTCTATAATAAGGGCCAACAAGTTCACCATAAATTATCACAATTCAACAGCTAATGAAATAGTTGTATAAAACTACTGACTACAATAATTCTATACATGAATGGCTTATTAAATATTATATTATGTGGAATGGAAATTAATCTTTCTTCTGATCATTCTAAATTTCTTTATCGTCTTGTCAAATAGTTAATTGCCAAAACTCAAACCTCATGTTCTTATAGTGTCTTTTCCTAAATGATAACTGTGAATGAGTGAAAGAGAGAAAATGGGAGAGAGCAACCTCATTAATGTCATATTTTGACTCACGAAGCCTCTCACTCCAAAAGCTAATGTCCCAATGTTTCAAATCATCTGCTTCCAGTGCACCCTGACTTCTGGAGAAAATCTTAAGGTCTTCGATATCTGCAAGGAAGAAAGATGCAAAACCTAAGTTATTGTCAATTAAAGGAGGACACACACACACACACCCACAATCACATATAGGGTATACGTCAGAACTATTAAGTGTTGATTATTTGGAATCCTACCAAAAAGACATCTATTTGTTGCTATTTTGGAATATTCAAAGACAATAAAGGGCCAACTCTAGAAAGTCTATATACCATGCATTTTCCCATACATAACTAATGAAAAAACTAAATATAATTTGAAGCCTTATGCAAACACTAAATCAGGAACACATCTTATATACTACCTTGCACTGCAGCATCCCACGAAGCTCTTCGAAGCTTTTCTAGAAGTTCTTCTGCCTTATCAACAGTTGCCATTTTGGTTGCCATGCTAACCTGATAGATTATACATCAGCAACCTAAAATAGGATTGTATTCTTTATAACAAAAGAATCATACCTCAGCATAGTTATTGTAGTTGAGAAGCTTGGCCTTTTCCAACCTAAGCTTTAAAATTTGCTCAATTATTTCTGTATTATCCAAATCTCCACTAGATGCACGTGCTATATATGCACGGTAGACTTCCTCGCGCAAAGAACGGTTGCGAGCATGTTGCATAACAGCAATAAAACTCGGAGCATCCAATGTAATTACCCATGGCCCGTTCTCAGCTGTGGCATTTTCATGCCCCTGCATTTACCAATCAAGAAATCTAAATTCAAAAAGATAGCTGATTGTCATAACTTGAGAATAGTATCATAACATGTCAACATGATATACCTTGGACACTGCACTTTGTGCAGCCAACCCAAGAGCAGTAGCAGGTAATCCTTCAATCTCTTTCTTATCAGTAATCAGCTTTTCAAATTTCTTTGTTGCATCCAGAACATTGTCCCCAAACTTTTGTGATAACCTTTCCAGCTCCTATGAATGGTATCATTCAATCATAACCCCATTACAACATTTGGTATAATTTGGAGTACGGATTTTGAGCAAAATCCCTCAGTGACATATATTGTTAATAAATTGGGATTTCAAGCTGTTGCAAATAGCTCCTTTCTGATTTTCAAAATTTTGAATTTCAACAGAATTTTACCTGTCCATGTTGCTTATCCTTTTATCCTTTTTATTTGTAAGTCACAAACATTCAAATTTCAAAGTATGTATAATTACAAACCCATGATCTCATTTTCCCTTGTCTGAGAAAAGAGAGGCTTGGTTGCTTCCATAAAACAGATAGAGATATAAACTAAAGCATAGTACATAATCACTATAAATGATGGAAATCAAATAACATGCACTAATAATAGCCACCATTTATGGTTGTTTTTAGTTGTTAAAAAACGCAAACCTGTTCAATTTTGTTAAACTGTTCTCTTTTATCATCTTCAAGAGAAACACCATTAAGAACCGCCTCCTTTATTTGGCCTGCAAAGGAACAAGTACAATTCTTACTTGGTAAATGTAAAATGACAATTCCCAAACAATAAATTTGTTTAAGTCAAGTGAACGGTAAGTGGAACACCAGTTTACGATTTAGTATGACTTCATGAGTATAGAATTTTTTCAACAACAGGTAAGACTAAGTCACACAGATATTCCATATTACAAGTCAAACACCAAAAAGTAGAACACAGAACATCTCTCTCTTATACTTAGAAGCCCAGCATCAAATTAGTAAAAGAGTGGATCCATAAATCAGAAAAATTTACACCAACTACACACCCAGCATCTTTCACATTTCTCCATCTAATCAAAAAAAAAAATCTAGAAGCAGAGAAGCAGCATCCGTATGTAATCCAGAGCAATTGAAGCTACTTAGTATAAGAAAATAACATGCCAATACAAAAAATCACATCACAAGAACAGCATAGTAACTTACTTTCAACTATGCGTCTGCGAGCATCACTAAGTCTCTGCCATTCAGGAGACTCTTGAATGGCTTTGAATGCATTATAAATAGGTTTGCTTTGACCCAATCTAAGCTGAAACTTAACTTTTTCTGCCTGCAAACAAAAAGTAAGCCTTGTTAGTGCAACAAAATTACTGCACTCATAATTCAAAAGATAAATTACACTATAGATGACCAAAACCAAAAGAAAATATATTAAATAGAGGGCCAAACAACAGAATAACATCTTGCAATATGGCTCATATGTTAAAAGTGTAGCAAATAAACGAATTCCTATAAAGTTTCACACTACACCCCAAATGCACAGAAACAAAAACACCCAAAAAAGAAAAAGAAAAAGAAAATACCTGCACATCTTCAATGGCAGAACGGAGCTCAGAACTATCCTTAACGGACTTAAAATGATTGACAATGCCCCAAACAACAGACAACCGGTCTACAATCTTCTCCAACGGTTCAACCAACTTTGGCCATGAAGGTTCCACGGTGCGTTCCAGTTCTTCCAACTCACCTTCCTACAAAAAAACAAAAAATCAAGCAAACAACCCGCAAAGACCTAATCAACCAAGACCCATTAACCCAAATCCAAGGAAGAACCCGAAACGAGACGAAAGGTGAGAACTTGTTACCAGCTTTTTGAGGAGGGTGCGAATGCCGGGTCGCACGTGTTTGGGTTCGACAACATCGAATGGCGGGAACTCGAAGTCCTTTAGAAGAGGGTTGGCTTCGACGAGGTCGTCGATCGCGGAAGCAGCCATGGACGGAGCAGAGAGGGAAGAAGAGCAAGCGCAAGCGCAAGCGAAGGAAGGGGAAGTGGACTTGTGAAGTGCTTCAAGGCAGAAGGAGAAGGAAGAGGACCAGAGGGGACAGGGACGGGATTTAGAGAATTGTTTGGGGTGAAAAATGGAATGAGAAGTGCGCTTTAGGAGTGGGGGAATGGAACAAGAGAGTGTAAGAGTGCGGGTAAGGCGTGTAGCCATGAGCATGTTTGCTATAAGAAGGGCACTAACCAGAACTCCGTGTCTCATTTTGAAAAGGTTCTTTATCTGTTTAGTATGTTTTTTTGGTCAGGAACATGAAATATCTTTGATGTAGATACTTATGTTTTTACTTTTTGAGTAATATGTCATTTTTATAATTCTATGAATCGGTATAAGGTATTGAGATTTTTTATTTTTTTTAAACATCAAATACATTTTTTCAGAAAAGCAATTAACTTTTATTTTTTATTTTTTTTCAAGTTTAGTAATCTTAATTTTGCTTGGATTCCAAAATATGCTATGGTGATGACTGATGAGGATTTTTTTCAGCTTTGGATTGGTGTGATGCCGCTTATCTGTTTTGGTTTTTCCAACTTGTCTCTGAAATGACTTAGTTTTTCACATTTTTTAATTTTTTTTGGAAAGGATATACTTACCACCAAAAAAAGTTTACTACCTTTACAACCAATCTAATCACCGTTGATTTTCGTCAATCTAATGGTTATAATTTATTGAATTTACTTTTTTTTTAGTACAACTATAGAGGTATTCTCATTCAACTTCTTCTGGTCACTTTGCCCTCGGGGTACGGCCTTGTAGGCTAGTCCCTCATTGGAACAGCGGGTGCATTGACCTTCGCTACCGGAGGAAGAATGAGACTAATCTCTCGCTACCGGAGGAAAGATGAGACTAATCCCTCATTCGAGGAGGGAGACACATCCTCTGGCCTCCAAAGATTTTTCAAGAAGCTTGAAGCAGGATTTGAACCCCTGACTCAAGCAAAACCCTTGGAGCTCAGTTGCCATATGAGCTACCTTGGGAGTTAGTTTTTCACATTTTTAACGAGTCAGGATATAGTAAAGCAATAATGCTGCATGTTGCATCGTGTAAGGTTGCATACCATAGAGTCATTGGAATTGCTATAACTGCTCACTGATCTTGACAAAATAAAGATAGAAATATCATACGAAGTAAGAGAATTCATATCAGCAATTTTTATCATATTAGTAATCACACCAAAGGCTGTAGAGACAAACGAGCATCTGTTTTAGAAACTTGGTTATTTTAAACTTTAATTGCATAAGTATCTATACATTGCGCGAAGTTATCTCTCGATCAAGTTTTTCTAGATTCATACAAATAAAGGATCTTGGCTAATATTTTTGATATGCTATGCTCCTCTTCCAGGAATCAGGAAAACTGATCGCCTTGAATTGCTTGCCAATAAGAGCAGAGTGTTACCTGCCACTGTCACATAGCAAACTGAATGCATGAGAGAATACCAGACTACGATTTTGTTAATTTGTGTGGTCTGATTGAGGAAACTTGATCTTTCAGTCAGAAGTGTCAAATGCAAGTTTTTATGCCTTGGGAAAGAAAAATGGATTCAAAATCTCATGTTCAAATATCACTTCAGAAGGTCTCCCCAAGGTTAATAACAGATTACTGGTATCATTTTGTATCTCTCTTTATTTAATTATTATTATACGAATTGAAGTTTTGAGGGGGCAAATAAATGAAATTTATAATGCACAGAAACTTTTGATGGATAATGAAGCTAAATCTGGTGGACTTCTTGCACTGTTATGTTCATTTACCTCTTTTGTAAAATTAAAACCAACAAATACCGGGAAAATGAAATGAAAAAATTTAATGAGAATGAAGAAACCAGAAAACAACGCATATGTCTTCAAATTTGTACAGTTTAAAAGGAGGATGCTTTTTATAAGAGTGCATTTGTCTAGTTTGAGGTCAAAAGCACCACGATCTAGTCCAAGGCCATAAAATTATTAATCACTTCCTTGCTCATTCATTACTAGCTTCTGGAATACAAAGCAACAACACAGATAGTACAACACAATTGAGGAATTAAGATATAAAAAAGCAAATCTGATTTTCTTGAATTAGCAATTGCATTTTACTTTTTACTGTGCTCAAGTGGTGACCAGGCCAGATAACATATGGGAGTTTAGGAGGGAGATTATCGATGAATTAATTTGTATGCCTTATCAACATAATATATTAACAGCCGGGTCAAAAAGTCATGATACGATTGACAAAAGTGCATACCTAAATGGAAAATTTTCTTTTCTCATTTGCTGTACTTCATGGTTGCTTTATCAAAACCAATGGTTGGAAATTGTTTTGCGTACTCCTCAACATCATGGCGAAGCTTTGCAATCTCTGACTGGAAGTAAGAAGATGACTGAATTGTGGCCAAGAAGTCCTTCAATTTTGTTCCTGATTAATAAAAAAATCATCATCAACTACATATTTGCTTATTTAAGCACCCAACAACCCCATAGCAACTTATACCAGCGGTGTCCAGATAAAAGTAAAGACAAACACAGGAAGGAAGGATATTGAAGATTTATGAACCTTTGCTTTCCGCCTTGATCTTCACAGCCAAATTTACAGCTGCATCAAAAAACTCTGCTACCTTAACGAAATCCACTTCAACAAATCCCCTAGAAGTAAGAGCAGGAGTTCCTGAAATCAACTAGAGCTATCAAGATCAAGTATTGAATAATGACATCAAAATAAAAATAAAAGCAATGAAGAGCCTGTACCCATCCTGATGCCACCAGGAACCATGGCAGACACATCGCCTGGAACCGTGTTTTTATTTGCTGCAATATGAACTGATTCCAACACCTTCTCAACTCTGGAGCCATCAATACCCTGAACAAAGATTTTTGAAAATAAACATTAGTCTCACTTTAATATTATTGTTCAGATGAAAAATTTCAGCTTTCTTTTATGGATCTGACATGGTATACTATATTCCTTTTACAAGGTTATGAGTGTTTAAAATTTCTCTCACATTAAATCACCACAATAAATATTAACTTTATGACTAACACAAATAATTAGCATTGAATGTTATGATGCCGTAACATAGTAGAGTTTATGATGATTATATGAAATGTCAAAGTATTTGTGCATCACCTTGTTCTTCAAATTCACCAAAACTAGATGATTCTCAGTTCCACCAGAAACAAGCTCATAGCCCATTCCAATCAGAGCCTGCAACATATTTAATGTTAAAATACAAGGTGTTAATCTCTTTGGTTTGGGTAGGAGGCCAACCCCTATGTTGGTTTAAGATCCAATATCTGCGAGAAGAGACAGTTAAGTTCTCCTTTGAAATATGTACCTGTGCAAACTTTGAGCAATTACTGAGAACCTGCTCCTGATATGCTCTATATTCGGGAGTGGTAGCCTGAGTCCAACAAGGAAAAACAAAAGATACTATACTTAATGAATATGAATATGCAGCTCAAATCATAAGTCATAACTCATACCTTCTCTCAATATTAACTATTTAAGCACGCCCCCCACCCCAAAAAAAAAAAAACCAGAACTTTCAAGTATTTATAATTTGCTTTAAAGCTACAAACCTACACTCATTAGACTTTGTTGAGATATATAGTCCCACATTGATTGGATGGGCAACTAATATGGCCTTTATAAGGCCTTGGGCACTCCCACCCTTTGAGCTAGCTTTTGGGGTGGTGTATCCCAAGATTCTTTACAGACTTGAGACTTGTTCACCCCAACCTAAGACTTAAGCACAATCCAATTGGTATCACTCAAAAACAAAGCCACTCCCCAAATCAACCCCTCAGACAAATCTTCTTAATAGGCTATAATGAAGATAAAGCCTACTACATATCCATTTTATTGTCTGCTGCAGTTGAAATACAATATACAAACCTCAATATCAAGAAAAAAAAAATAGACAGTGGCACGGATCCCTTTCATCAGTCTCTCAAAAGTAAAACAACAGTAAAATAAAGATCACCTTTATCTTTTTTATTTTTGTACCTGCTTCAATGCAACAGCTAAACCAGTAATAGTGTGATTGTGAGGACCACCTTGCAGTCCAGGGAAGACAGCTTGATTGATTTTGTCCTCATAGTCATACAACACCTTCAAATAAGTAAGAATAATTAGTGTTGCATGTTTGGCTTACGCCAAAAATTTACAGGAGATTTTGTACAAATAAGCAAAACATGCTAAAATAATGAAAACAAGACTTGAGACAGAGTATAAAGTCAAATGTACACAAAAATGGCAAATGAATTTTGTTCAGGAATGCACCTCTTTTCCTTGTTTGTTAATTTCTTTTACCCCCTTCCTGAAGAAGATCATAGCTCCACGTGGGCCACGAAGTGACTTGTGAGTTGTAGTAGTCACTACATCTGCATAATCAAAAGGTGATGGGATAACACCAGCCGCAACCAATCCACTAATGTGTGCCATATCTGCCAACAACACAGCTTTCTGTTTATCACACACCTGTAACATGCTTTATGAGTTCAACCTTGGGTGTTCCAGATAACCATTCAAATTAAAAACCACCAATTCTAAGAACGACAATATATTTATATTTTTGTTATCATTCTGTGCCATTTATACATTACCTTACGTATGCGTGCATAATCATACAGACGTGCATAAGCACTAGCTCCAGCAACTATTAATTTTGGCCTAAAGAGTGTAGCCGTACTCTCCAACTGCATTTCAATTGTAATAGATTATTAGAGAAATAAGCTTTCTCAATTGAACTCAAAAAGGTTAAAAATGAGAGGACAAATCAAGTAAGTTTACGAAATTGTCTACCAGTTTGGATAATGATGCAATTGGAATCATTTAACTGTTTAAATATGGAGTAAAACAACTCCCATTGCCTTTCATAATGTGAGATTATAATATAAATCATTAAAAAGTCCCTCACCCACCAACTTAAGCTTTTGAGTTGAATTGGTTCTTTACATGGTATCAGAGCCTTGGTGTCACGGGTTCAATCCTCACCGCTACCATGTAATTAATGATTAATTAAGTTTGTGGAGTTTCTTAGCACAGGTAGGCTGGGCCTAATGCATCATCCACCTTTCAAACTCAATGAGATCTCATGTAAAGGGGTGTATTAGAGATATATAAAACCATTAATGTAGTCTCACCTAATAACTTAGGCCTTTGGGTTGAATTGGTGTTTTACATGGTATCATAGCCTCGGTGTTACGGTTCGATCCTCACCTCCCCCATTTAATTAATAATTAATCAAGTCTTGTGGAGTTTCTTAACACAGGTAGGTGAACCTATGCATTATCCACCCTTCAATCCCAGTGGACTCTCGTGTGAGAGGGCGTATTAGAGTATAATATAAACCATTAAAAAGACCCTCACCCACCAGGCTAAACTTTTGTGTTAAATTAGTTCTTTAGACATAAACAAGACAAAATATCAAAGGGGATTTATGGCAACAGAAATATCATCTTTAAGCATTATTCGTAACCTTGCTAAAAGCGTAGAAAGTGAATAGTGTACATTCTTTACAGAGTGGCGAATCTACAATCATCATTTCTCCGGCTACCAGATTAAATGATTATCTTCATTTCTAACCTTTAAGCTACAAGGAAGTTCATTAAATGATAACGACAAAGAGGAATGACATTACTGTCAATGTAAGTGAAAGAAACATCGTTTTAGTTGGTTCTAGTTAGCATTTGTCAGAACTTGATTTTGAGCACTTTAGACCATCGGGAAAAAAAAGTTATTGATAATTACATGTGATGTCGTTAAACCCTATAGCTGTTGAATTCTTCAATTTATATGCATGAGCATGTAACTGAACTCACCGCATGTATATCATGTGAATATCTTAATTCTAAGAGCCAGTCGTCAAG